TGTCAAATGGCGACATCAGGTTTTACTCTCACATCCCTTGCCAACATTTGGTATTACTCTCTTTTCTCATGTTTTGCCATTTGGATGGGTGCAAAATGGTATCTTGTTTTAATTTATATTGTTTCTGCTTGAAAGTGAGTTTTAGCACCTCTTCATATTCTGCTTAGCCATTTGGGCTTTGTTTCTGAAAATTGCTGTCTTCTTTGACTATTTTAAAAATTGTTTTCCTAGCATAAGTTGTTAATGTGCAGGATTAAAAAAACGTATATGTATCTTCGGCCAGCCTATTAACTATGTCTATTGCATCCTTTGTTGAACAGAAGCACTAGATTTTATTGTGGTTATATTTATCCAAAAATTATTTTGCTCTATGGTTTGAGTTTTCATTTTGGGATATTCTTTCTGAAATCTTTCCTTACTCCTAGAACACAAAGGTATGGGTCTGTGCTCTCTTCTCTTAGCTTTGTTAACAGATTTCCACATTTTGGTCTTCCAACTGGAGTTTATCTATGCAAAGCGTATAAGGTAAGAGGTCAGCTTCATTTTCCTCCATACAGTGAGCCAGTGTTCTGCCAACACAATCTATAATTTCCCCATTTACAGACATAAATGGGGATAAAAATATCTTCTCTATTTAACTTACATAGATATCATATGTGAAATGGCTTAATAACCTATAAAGTACAATACGATATTAGTTGTTATTGTGGTTTCATTTGGAAACGTAGCCATTTCAGTTTTCCCAAACTGTTTTCTCTCTTTGGGGGAGGCTGTGTCTCAGGCAGATCTTGTTGGGGGCTTTAGTTTAATGTAGATGGCGATACAACTTATCTCCTAACTCTGATCTTCTAATCTCTAGCCTTCTCCTTCAGGTATCAAAATGAAGAAATTGTTTTAGCAACACCATTTTCAATTGCCTATAAACAGCTCACAGTAGTATAGATTGAATGATGGAATACATTCATCACTGTTGAAATGAAGTAATGAATGCAATCATTTCCATTTTGGGCACTTTTACTGGGAAGACCTAGACAAATGTGAAAAAAGTTACCAGGCAACTCTCAGTTTCCCTGAAAAATGAACTTACCTAATTAGAAACCTATAGTTATTCACCTTTATATGCCTAATATGTGGCACAGTAATTGGCACATAGAAGCTAATAAATCCTGAATAAATGAAGAAATACATATAGTGTGGCCTAACTGGCATGTTAGATGCCATCAGTGGGTTCACATGGGGAGCTGTGGGATCCATACAGAAAGTTCTGGTAACATGGCATCACTGTAATTTTGGTTTGAGGCAAAGGAGAGAATGTTCAGCCCCCAACCTTGTCCCTAATCTACTAGTGGAACTCCTGGCCTCACAGATAACAAGCCTGGATATCATGTCACATGATCCTGTGAAAGTAACTTGACCTCATAGCTTCTGTTTCCATTTTAAGAAAATGAGAGAAGCACATCTGTTCAAACACTGTTCAGTGTCTGCCAAAGCCTGAGCTTCCAACAAGAAAGATGTCATTGTAAAGACCTGCTGTTACAGTGGATGGGAAACAGAAGGTTCTGGTGAATGAACATAATAGTTTTATTAATGCAAATCCCACATGGATTGCCAATTTTCAGGAAATGAAAATACTCGACTAATAAACAAAAGCCCATTTTGCTGCTTGCTAATTCTGTAGCTTTGGAGCCTCAATCTCTCTAAGATTCTGCTTTTTCATTTGTCGAATGGGGGAGATAATAACATCTATCTTTATAGAGCAGGAGTCGGCAAACATTTCTGTAAAAGGCCAAATAGCAGATATTTTTGGGTTTGCAGGCCCTACGGTTTCTTTTGTAACTAATTCGACTCTGCTGTTATGGTGCAAAAGCGGCCAGAGACAACACATAAGTGAATAGGAATGGCTGTGTCCCAATAAACTTTATGCACATAGAGATTTGAATTTCTTGTTATTCTTACATGCTGCAAAAAAAACTGTTCCCCTTTTGATTTTTTTCACCTATGTAAAAACCATATTTAGCAAAACAGATGCAGATTGGAATTGGCCGTTGGGTCATAGTTTGCCAACTCCTATTATGGAGCTTCTATGGTACAGAAATAAGTTTCATGGTAAGGGCTCTATAAATGTTAGCTATTATCATCCTTATTATTATAAATTGTTTAGGTAAAAAGTAATTTGAAATTACAGATGGAGTATGATGACAACTGTGTAGTGTACTGTCTGGACTCAGACAGTATGGGTCTGATATACGTATGTCCAGGTCTAACAGAAATATGCCAACACACTAACAGTTACCATGTTAGGATAATAAGATCCAGCTTAAGATGTTTCTGTTTTTTCTTTAATAAAACATAAAAATTACATTAAATTGAAAAGATAACCTAAAAACAGACCCAATCTTGAAAACAGTTCACAATAATATTTAATATAAATTTAATCTTCTTTTTGTAATTCAGAAGACATTTTAGATATTCATTCTGTCTGGGGATCACTGTGAAGCATTAGTTACAACTGTGGAAGACTGCAGACACGGAGACCAAGACTGTAGGGCTAAATCTATGCTGATCTTATACCACATATAAGAAGCAACTTTTCAAGGAGGTCTACCTTTACTCTTCTTGTCCTCTTTATAAGTGTGGTTACTGTTAAAAAATAAGTCTATATTCTATTGAAGGAGATAGATGAGAAAATCACCAAATATAGGGGCATATGGAAGGCAAAAGCAGTAGGAGAAGAAAGGCAGATCATCCAACCCAGTCTGGAGGTGGAGGTGGTTATAGATGGGTAATTAGACAGCACTTCCCAAAGAGGTGGAGATGAAGTGAAATTCTGATGGAAGAAGTGAAGAAAGCCAGGGGAATAGTGTAAGAAGAACATTCCAGGCAAGGAGTCGAGGTACCCCATGGGGAAGCAACATGGGGCAATGGCTGGGGGCCAGATAGAGCACTGAGGGATAATTGAGTATGACTGGAGGGGAGGATGCCTGCAAGATGGTGGGGAAGATGGTGCTATGGAATTAGATAGGGGTCTGTTAACTTTGTATCTCATAGTCAGGATTTGGGACTGTATTCTAATCATTAAGTCAAGTTACTTGACCTGTAAACTTCAGTTATTTCATAGTAAAGTGGTATAAATGATGCCTATCTAGTAGGACTAATGCTGGGGAGATTCAGTGAGATAATGTATTTCAGTCCTTAATAAAATTCAGAATGTTTTACATTATTGAAATTTATATTTTCAAAATTGTTTTAAAGTAATTTTCAAATGAAAGTTATATGTTTTTCCATAAAACACTGCAATTTCAAAACAATGACTGCATTTGATAGTCACTAAGCTTTCAGAATTTTTCTACTAGTTGAAGCCTCATTCATGAAGGAGAATAACTTGTACTGTCTAATTCCAGACAGTGAGGAAGCCAATGGAAAGCAAGTATTAATACAAGTTAGCGTGGGGTGGGGGAAGCCTCCTAAATAGTCTGCATTGCAAGGGGATTTGGAAGCTGATCATTTGCTATTTAAGAAAAAAAGTACAAATAGAGGATCCATTCTAAATGTTTTGTTTGAGAATCCAAAACCAAAATAGCTATCATTTAAATGTGGTTGCCAGTGAAAAATCTATCCTAATATATTGATAAATACGATTTTTGTATTCTTGTTACTTTTAAAATGTACTTATACTTCATCAATAAGAGGTTAAAAAGAATGATCTCTAATTCTTCAAATGTAGCCATGCTCTGATTCTATAAGACAAATTTGTTTTGAAGGGGAAAAGATAAATGAAAGTCATGCAAGTAGGGATTACAATTTAATCTTTGGAGAGAGTATTTAAAAAAATATCATGGGTACATAATTTATGGCAGACTCTTACTTAAATAGTTTCTTGGAAAATGTAAGTTGAATTTAAGCTAACAATTAGTTTTAAATAATTTAAAAAATAACCCATGCACTTAACTATTGGAAATAGCAGCCAGAAGAGCTTAGAAGCAAAAATCACAAAGATTAATTATTCTCCCACCTTTACTTCTGACATGCGCTGGGATTGCTAGTCTTTTATAGTCAGTTTCCCACCTGTAAAAGACACTGTATGTGTAATCCACAGACTCCAGGGCTGGAACATGGAGTTGTAAGTAAGCATTAATATACTCTGAGAATAGAAAGATTTTGGTTTCAGAATTCTAATTATTCCAGTTCTTCTAGTCTCTGTTCTGCAGGATACCCTAGTTCCTGCTTCCCAATATATACCCAATCTACTACATCCTCCAATCCTATAGAAACTAAGAACGAAAGTCTATGATTAATTGACTGCTACATCCATAATTTGTTTTGTTTTTGTCCCAACAGCAGTCAAAAGGAAATGCCATGAAAATATTAAAAATTGATGCATATCTTTAGGAGAAAAGATGCAACATGTGGCAAGAGCCAAAAAATCTACTTACTGCTCTTTGACCTACTAATTATTCTTTTGGGAGATGACCAAGCAGAGACATATAGTAAAAAAGAAAAAATGGAAACAAACTTAAAAGGTCCAATAATTACAGAATGTTTAAGCAACCCAGAATAATAAATTAACAAAATATTATGCAGTCATTTAAGAGGGTATGAAAAAAACTATGAAAATACATGACAAAATTAAATAAAATAATGTTAAGTACATTGTATGTGTATGTATTGATTACAAAAGTGCAAAACCTGTGTTATAAAATATTGAGGAGAAGAACTCAAAAGACATATAAGTGAGTCTGGTTTACACTCCATGTGGTGTTTCTTTTGAGCAGAGGGTTTTTTGGGATAATCTGAAATAGCAAAAATGCTGCTAGGATTAACACATCACTCAAGCTTTCTCTCTTTTTCTTTTTAAATATGGCCCCTAAAGATGACCTGAACCTTGTACTTGCCCATTTTATCTCTTTTTATGTCCCTGAGGAAGTGTTTTTTTTCTCCTAATAAACATTACGAACCTATTTATTCCATAAATGATTTTACAATTTTAGACAGTTACTCACTCTTTGGTGCGCCCATGAATTTCCTTTCGCCAAAATTCATGATTACTTAGAGAAGAAATACTCCCTCTTTTCTTCGATGAACGAGCTGCTCTGTCTTTAGTATTGTCTGGCATCATCACAACCTATGGAAGAAGACTTTTGTAAAACAGTGAAAGAAAGATCTGGAAACATTTTAGTTAGTATAACAGGGACTAACCTCAAAGTACACGGATACTTTTCCTACCATTTTTGAACAGGGAAGTGGGGTTTCCTCAAGAGCAATATATAGTATTTGTTATTATTCTGATCAGTAAAACTGGAACTATGATAACTCTGAAAATGCTTATTTATGCAATAGTATACTTAATTTACATAAGCAGATATTAATCTATAGCAAAAATGCTTAACTGATGAAGAGGGAGGTCATTGACAAAAGGTATGCATGTATAGAAGAAAGATGCTATCCTACATCAGAAACCAATATTTGTATTGCCCCCCAATTTAATCATAATATAACTTGGCTAATTAATATTTGCTGTCACTGTTACATTTTATTTTTGAGACAGGGTCTTGTTCTGTCACCCAGGTTGAAGCACAGCAGCATGATCACGGTTCACTACAGCCCCAAACACCTGAGCTCAAGTGTTCCTCCCAACTCAGCCACCTGAGTAGCTGGGACTACAGGTGTATGCCATCATGCTGGGCTAATTTTTTATTTTTCGTAGAGATAGGGTCTATGTTGCCCAGGCTGGTCTTGAACTCCTGGGATCAAGCAATCCTGCTTCAGCCTCTCAACGTGCTGGAATTACAGGCGTGAGCCACTCTACCTGGCCTATTTTATTATTTTAGAGACAGGATCTAGCTCTTGTTACCCAGGCTGGAGTGCAGTGGCATGATCATAGCTCACTGTAACTTCAAACTCCTGGGCTCAAGCGGTCCACTCACCTCAGCCTCCCTAGTAGCTAGGACTATAGGTCTGCACCACCGTGCCTGGCTAATTTTTAAAATTTTTTGTAGAGACACAGTCTATGTTGCCCAGGCTGGTCTTAATCTCCTGGCCTTAAGTGATCCTCCTGCCTTGGCCTCCCAAAGTGCTGGAATTACAGTCATAAACCACTGTGCCTGACCTGCCATGACTTTAAAAAATAATATTAGGGGTAGGGGGCTAGAAAATAAATAAATAAATAAAAATTAAAATTAACCTTGGCTTCTCAAAGATTTTCTGTTGTTTTGTTTTCTCGAGCAACATTTACATACTTTGTAAGAAGCAAATAGGACTTAACTTTTAAATAAATAATTTATTGAAAAACTCCCTCCTTCCTACTAATACTTGTTAAAGAGCTTGGTAGTAGCAATGGACTTCCCAGAACTATAACTTACCAGACTATAACTATGGACTTCCCAGACTATAACTCTAATGCCTCACTGCCTACCTACAAATTTAGATATTCATTTAAATTATTTCACAATCTATAAATGTGAGAGCCCCAGTAAGGAAATACTGTGCTAGTCACCAAAGCTTAAAAATAAAAGAAAATCCACGCCTTCAAGGAGCTGGCAGTTGAGTGGGTAGGGCGGAAATCAACATATCCTAAAACCCAGTGGCATCAGTGTCAGAGCAGAGGTGCTGTGTGTGGGTGTGGGAGGCAGCGTGGTGTGTGTGTGCACGTGAGTGTAAGCGTCCTTGAGTGTGTACCTGTGAGTGTGCATCTCTGTGTGTGCAGGTGCCTGTGTTCGTGTGTATGAAGGTGTGTGTGTTTATGAGTGTGGGAAGATACACGGCCTGATTAGGTGGGTCATTCAGGTTTTGCTGCAAAGCCACGTAGACCCATCTCGACCTCAGCTGTTTCCAAAGCTGCCCTGCAGGCCGCCCCCTCCCCAAGAAAGGCCAGAGTTGCGACCTGGAGGTCCTCATGGGTGCGGCCAGCCACAGGAAGACCGCCCAGGGTCAGGGGATGACCTTGCTGGCCAGCTCTGCATTGGCTATCACTCTTGAAGCCCAGCCATGCAATGGGGCAGGGGACGAGCTGTTGGGTCCGACTTTGAGTTCCCAAATTCGGGATCATTTTTTCTTATTTGTTGGGGAGAGGAGGAATAAGGTGACTGAGAAATCGGGGCCAAGTCGGCCCATTTCTCAACAAAGGGCCGATCCCTTGCCCCCTGTCCTGACGCGCTGCAGAGAGAGCGACCCTACCTGCAGCAGGGAGGCTTCGCCCGGAGCCTCCCAGACCTCCGGCTCGTCCACTGCAGACGCTGCGCGCGGCGCGGCTCCGGTCTCCCGGGCCTCACTCAGCCGGCGGCCGCCGACGCACTCCCACTGGACTCTGAGGCCGGTCTCCAGGGTGACCTCTAACAGCGCCCTCGGCCCGCCCTGGCCGGACTTGGCCGCTGAGTGGCCCTCTGAGCTGCCCTAAGGATGTAGAGGATCTCATCTTCACCGCCCACTGGGGGTCGCCTGAGCCCCGCTGCGTCCTGGGTTGGAGGCGAGCTGGAGGGGAACTGGTTCATTCTGTAGCGAGGAGGACATTTGGGACTAAAGGCATTTGCACACCGAGGGCCCCTCATCAAGTTCCTTTCCCCGCAGAAGTCGGGGGCAGGAGTGGGAAATGCTGCGGTTTCCTAGAACAGGAAATCCGAGGCTCAAAGTAAAGTAGCCCCTGCCCTTTCCCAGACCGGTAATGCTGCTTTACACGTTCCCCCTCCAAGGCACAGGCGGTGGGTGATGGAGGTAATTGAGCGCTTACATTGGCCAGATACCCCAGATACCGACAAACATTGGGATTTAGTCGTCCCAATAACTCTGTCAAGAAAGGAATGTTCTCCCTTTAAAGGATTTGGAGATTCTAAAATGTTAAATAATATGCCCAGGGCCCCTGGAACTCATGGTCTTAACTCCAATGTATTACAAACGGGACTGGGTTCTTTCACTTTCCTTAACACGCCTCTTCCGAGCCTGTTAATGGCTAAGAAGCTTTGAAATGGAGACTGTTTGGGATTGAGGACCTACCTGCTGGTATGAATGGGCCTTTCCTCTTCCTTAGCGACTATCCCCAGCCTAAGCCCATTGGGCCTCCCCAAACCAAAAGCAAACAAAATAAACACTATAGGGACCCTCCTGTAGTGGGCAATCATTGGAAACAGACCCAAGATGCCTCCAAGCACCTAGCCAAGGGCATGGCTCTTGATGAGTGTCCTGCAGCAATTAGCATTAACTGACAGTAATACATTGGGATTCTGGTGGAGCACAGTGTTAGGATAGTGTTGGAAGAAGAGCAATAGGTTCTTTTGCCTATCCCAATCCCTACTCACGGAAAGATAAGATCAGGAAAGGATTGTTGACTGAATATACTGTGAACTAGGTAGGAACTGCTGGGTGATGGATAAACATTATCTCATTGAATCTGTTCAGCGTCTATGACATAGGGGACATTGCTCTATCTTTTTTTAAGATAAGGAAATGTAGAATCGTTGAGTAACATGCTCAAGTCGAAACTTAAATCATAGAGCTGAGATTTGTCTAACTCTAAACCCTTGACCTTTGTCAGACCTTTGGCCCACCATCCCTATCCTAAACATGGAATGAATGAAGTTTTCCAGAAATGAGGGTAAAATTTTAAGAGGCTGACAGTAAAAGAGATTTACAATTCAATTTATTTTCATATTTTTCATTTATTTTCCAGAAAAAGAAATTACATTTCAGTAACAACTTACATGTAGAATTAAACTTTGTTCTGGAATGGGAGCCCTAGTTGCAGTAATGTGTCATAATAAATAATTGCATATTCAGGATTTTGTGAAATAGGTGATTGGGAAAATTATGAACAAAAACCACAAAAATTATTATTTACAAAAAGTGATATCCATACTATTTCTAACTTATAAGGCAAGTAATGTTCAGATGATCTCATGATTATCTTCAACAAGTCAATTACACACTTTCCTGTCACCATTGCCAGCAGAGAGCTTTGCTGCAATTCTGTGAAGGAGCAAGCCTTCACTTCTGTTGTTGGTTTTCTCTTGAGCACAGCGTAGAAGCAGTAAAGCTTTCATCACAGACTAAGCAGTAATGGCTGTCAGAATAAAGTATACTTTTTTGAAATAGACGTGTAGGAAAAAGACTGGGAATCAACGTTTTGACTAAATTTTAAAAGTATCTTGAGTATTTTAATCCACAATTCCTTTTATAAATATTTTATACGCAAGGTATTTTTGTGAAATTATGTACTCAGTACAAGATTAAAAAGAAATTTAGTCTATTTTTGCTACATAGATCAAAGAGAGCTCTAAATAAAGGCTACCACCAAATCAAATTACACACAGCATTTTCCTTAATTGACAGGATTTCATTACCTATAGAAACACAGCACAATCTTTCTGAGATTCCTAGTTTCTTATATTGTTCAAGTTTAAAAAAATCAATGCCTTACATGGCCACTTAGTAGGAATGAAAATTAATATCCGAGCATTTAATTCATATGATCTTTTACTATACAAGTAAAAAAAAACCAAAAATTCTTTTTAATCAAAAACAATCGTGTTCAAACAGCTTAAAAAGCCAGCTGTATACGTTACTGCTTGGCCTGTAGTGAGGCTCTGTTCATAGATAAGATTAATATATCATCATATCAACACTTGGCTTTTTCAAGAAAAATTATTCAGCAGCAATTTTCCAATTCCCCTTAGACAGAGAGGAGAGAGAGAGAGACATACACAGAGAGAGAAAGAAAGAGAGAGAGAGAGATAAAGAGAGAGAGAATATGAATTAGACAGGAGCCAACTCTTCCATGTATGTCTATTTAACAAAGCAAGAACTAAATTCTGACATCAAAAGTCAAAACAGCTATATGAATTATCATTCTAGCAACTTGAAAAGAAAAAAAAATCTGACTTTGGATCTTGGGACAGTGGTCCTTGTGATAGTTACTTGTTGTATGATTTAAAATACCTTAGAGTGATGGTATATGAATAATATCAAACATTTACTTTGCCAGATAAAAAGTCATAAAAGTAATGTAAAACTGAATGAGTGAGATGGAATTAACATTTGTATGATATACTCATTCAATGGAACATTTTAAAATTATACATGGCTTATGATCTATCAGGCTGATTCACAAATTCTGGATGGATTAAAAACTGAACTATCTTTAGAGAAATGTAAAGTGATTCAGTTTGATTCTTTTCTATATGATAACAGACAATTTACCCAGGAAGTTTTGAAAGAAACGTTGTTGATTTGCTAAAAAAGCAACTGATTGGCAAAGTAAAGCAAAGCAAAAAAAAAAGCCACCACCACCACCACCACCACCAACAAAAACTTGTGAAATGCTCATTAAGAGTATAGACTCTCACAAAATCTGTGCTAAACAGTGCACTGCTCTTGGCTTTCCCCAAAATGTTTTTAATATAATTTCTGACAAGCTTATGTAAAAATACTGTCAACATGGATCTATCATGATTCAGTTTCCTAAAGCTGTTTAGTAAAACATTGCTGCAGATTATTCACTGGCATAAATTCCACACTGCAAATAATTGGAAACATCTTCAACAGATAGGGGTCTGATATGCTGGTCATAGGTGCAAGCCTTAAAAATAATACAAAAACAATTAAAAAAATTTTATTGTTTTGAATATTTTAGATGATAAAGTTAAATTCACTGAGAGATACTAATGAAATTAAAAATAGATAACAATTCATTTGAAATGACAGGAATTCCCTTAAAATTAAAACAAAATTCCAAAAGTATTTTTTCAAAGCATTCCTGGTTATTTTATTTACAATTATTGAAGGATATATAAACTAGTGTTAAAAGAAAACTTTTCCAAAAGTTTCTCAAGGTGTGCTTAGAAAAGAAAAGTTTTTACCTCATTCAATAACTTTCTTAAGCTTCATTAAACACTAACATTTATTATTAATGTCCAAGGAGAGAGAATTATAGTATAGGGCCATTTGTTCTCAGACCACAATGAATATCTTCCAGAACACAATTTGTAAAATACTGGAATATTGGTGAGCATAGCCCAAATACTCTTTACTTCTTTCCTTTAAAACATTATGGGACATTAAAAAATATATTCGTTTTTTGCCAAAACATTTTTTTACAAGGATAAAGATGTATTTAAGATAGGCAAGGTATTACTCTAGGGATAGAAGGAGGCAGATAGAAGGAGGCAGTTAGAAATCAAAGGAAAAATAATTTAGAAGTTAATCCTGGAGAATAAATTATTATACTCATGGTCAAGGTCAACTATGAGGTATCTTTTCCTCACAGACATACCCATTTAGGAAAGAAATCAGGTATTAAACATGAGATTTAATCAAGAGATTCACCACGGTCAACTCAACAGACTTTACATTTAACATTCCTTCATGAAAGATATTTAGATCTTAATTAGATATCAACAATGCAACTCTAGCTTGCAGAAGATGACAGAACATTGAAGCAATGACACAAGAGAAAGGCAAGTGTTTTGTTGTTGTTTGTTTGTTTTTAATATTTAGAGACTTAAGCAATGTATTCCTGTTTCATTTTCCTGCCATACACTCCACTGACAAAAAGGAACATTAATGGTAGCCATATTTAATTCATAAGTGAGAGAATGGCATTTAGATACTGTTTCCACGTGATAAAAAAGCCTAAAGGAGCAGGGAAAATACAATAAAGCCTTAAGAGGAAAGTGCACACAGTAAAAGGTGGTGAGGCTGGTCATTCGAATAGTCCCTTTAATCAGTGTGACTTGGATTGATTTGTACATTTATATCAACCATTTAATTTGACTCATTGTATGGATACATAATATTACATTAACTTTCAAGGCTATATTTAGAGATCACTCTTGTTTTTCTATTATTAAATATAATATCCTGCTTTCATTTTTTAAAAAAAATTGCTGATCAGAAAACCATGTGGCAAAATGAGTACATTCAGACTGAATGGGATTTTGCTCAAATATATAATCTTTTGGAAAAGGAAAAGCTTAAACACAGACACATACACACACACTCATCTGTTTAGTATGTATCCGCATATTTTACTGTATTGTTCAATTTAATTTACAGCCTGTGGCTATTTTGAGAAAAAATATTGGTGCGACTCTTTTAGAATGAGGATACCACATGTTTGTAAAGTCAAAAGCTTACAAAATAAATAGGTTCAACTCACAAGTTAGAGATCTGAATGTCCCTTGCAAAGAAGGAAACATTTATTAGGATTTTGTGTTTGAATAAATAACAGCTTGCAACCTCCCTTCTACTTCAAGTCTTTTAAGACATTGAAGAAAAGGACAGAAATACGAAAATGAGAAAATGCATTTCAGGCTAC